GGCCGTGGTGGGGGGTGGCAGGGCGCCGCCGGCCCTGCCACGTGGCAGTCCCGACTGACGTAATGATGAAAACGGGTACACCAAAGATGCACACAGTCACACGCTGATCAGATGTTGAACGTTGATCAGACATTGACGAAACCAATAGTACATACTGCTCCCAGCCCATAAGAAGTCCAATTGTTTTGGATTGCGAAGAATTGAAACCAAGATGCCTTTGTACGGTCCACTGACTGGTTCCCATCTTCGTAAGAATATGAACTCAAAGCTTCCACCAGCCTCGAAAACACCTTTATAGCGACTTAGGTTACGAGCGCAGCCATCAACACGCACAGTGGTCTTTCCAAATTCCTTGACAATGGCATGCCAAGTGTCGAACCACACATTTCCACCCGAAAAAGACAGGATGAAATTATGATGCTTCAGGTCTAATTCCTCTTTCAGATACTGCAGAACATGCAGCGACTCATTGACCTGACCAGGACGCTTAACCCTCACTGGCACGAGGGGTTTCGATCTTTCGACAATCGGTGTCTGCCGTTTACGAATGCGTTCCCTCCGTCCTAACGGGCACTTTTTTCGGATACGCTTATTACCTCGTGTCCCAGCTGAGTTCAGAAACGGAGAAAAATTCCGAATATATAAGGACTCGAGCTCCTCTAGTTCATGCTCACTCGCTATGTCAATTGGAACTAGGACATACTGCTCCCAGCCAAAACACGCTAACCATCGATAAAAATGAGACTGCCCTCTATTCTTGCTAGCGTACAAATGTTCTCGCCATCGAATGTTAGTGTTACGGATGGTCTTACCGATATAAGTCCACTTGCAGCTTACAGAGACAGCAGCATAAATACAACAAGGTTTCTCTAAAAAGGAGATCCCATGGTGTTCGAACAAACGAATCCAATTTGGCACAAACTTAGTGCACCATCTGATTCAGCCGAGTAAAGTCAACTTAACGACGAGTAGTCGTACCACTGCTTCAATCGCGGGTTCCACACTCTTCAGATTCTTCCGAATATTACACAGTAAATGGTATTGACGCCGCAGAGTCGCGCACCCTTACTCATGGTTAGGATCAATAGTTACCTCCTCATTTCCACCGCTATCACCCCCCGTATTCATGCCTTCTCCAACAACCTCATGTACAACCGTTCCACCCTCCTGCTCCGATCCGTATGCCACCATGGCCTTCTGGTATGCGATATCAAAGATCGCATACATTTTTCCGCGATACTCGATACCGGCATCCCTACATTTTGCCTCCAGCGTTTTTGCGTCGCAATCGATTAGCTCACGTCGAACAGTCTCCAAATATTGATAATGCCCCACCGTTTCGTACTTCGCCGGAATCTTCTTCGCCGGGGTTCGTTGACCCCCTGTCCTCAACTTGGTACGTGACTTCATCTTTGTCCTCGGGGTGCGGGTCTTCGATCGAGGTGTCTTGATTTCCTTCATCCCTTTGTGTCTAGTTGGAGTACGTTTCGGTGGGACGATCATTGGAGGGCTACTATCTTCGAAAACTGGTTCCTCTCCCCGTTTGCGTTTCTCATTGATCGTGAGTTGACCAGTACGAATGTTCAAGTCATTAGTACCGTCATCACTTTCGTTCCCCGACTCTTCATCGTTGGATGTTTGTGACTTCGCCTTGTTTTTCCCCTTAATAGCCCGGCGTAATTCCTGCCGAATTTCATCTCGTAATTCGCCGATCTTCAAAAACAATTGAGTGTCCACACTTTTTGCCAGTTCCAACTGTTTCTCTTCAGCACGCTTCTCCTTTTCGATCTTCTTGGCGATGCTTCTCTCTCGCTCAAGTCTCCCCTCTTCCTCACGCTGCTTGGCAAGAGCCTTTGCCTTCTTCCTGGCTTCCTTCTCATCCTTCTTCGCACGTTCTAGCTGAATGTATTCCTGCAAACTGGCCACGTTCCGTTCCAGTTTCTCCAACTCAGGTGTACGGCGTGACTCTCCGGATGACGAGGACTGCCCTTGAAATCCACGCCTTGGAGATGACGACCTTGCTCGTTGAGAGTCTCCTGTTGTTCTAGGAGCATCGAACCAGCTGCACTGGTTTGCGTAGTGCCCAACTCGTTGGCATCGAAAACATCCAGGTGGTCCACACCTTTGTCCCCGCTCTCGTTCTCGCTCGCGATCGCTGCTCGGCTTCCGCCCTCGGTCTTGGTCTCGGTCCCAATCATGGGCACGATACCGATCACGGTCCCTGTCACGGTCCCAAACTCCTCCTCCGCTCCTGTAGCCATCGTGGTCTCCTCTCCTGTCTTCGTTTGTCATATTCCACGCGTTCGACGCGCCTCACCTCTCACTCGAAAACTTGCTCCAACAACAACGGTTGCCTACTGTGTAGGTATGCGAGCTCACTTATCTCAGCTTGATCCAAGACAGTTCACACGTGATTTGATAGATGTAATGATGAAAATGGGTACACCAAAGATGCACACAGTCACACGCTGATCAGACGTTGAACGCTGATCACACATTGACGAAACCAATAGTACTTCAATCAAAGGCTTTATTACTCAGAATAGGCTTCAACAGTTCAAAGCTTTACTCAGAAACGGCTCCCCGACGCGTTTCGACTGCCGCCACGCAGTCATCT